GAATAGTAGTTCTTGAAGGTGGACACGAGCTTGAAGGGAACATGGGGTGTTAGTGAGCAGGCCACCTGCCCGTTGGCGCCAGAGTCACGGTCGGACACGCTGATCAAGGCAATGACAGTGTCCACCTGAACATCCTCTCTCACCGGGAGAGACAGTGAAGTGATCATTACCTCAGGGGTATTGTCATTCAGGTCCATAACTTCCACTAGGACCGTGCAGTGACCTGCCATGGAAGGAATCCCTTTATCAATGGCGTTAACCTGAATTTCATACTCATTATTCTCTTCGAAATCCAATTTCCCATAAGTTCTGATTTCACCTGTTTCTGGATTTATTGAAAACATGCATTTCTCACTCACTGGCAAAATCAGTCTAATTGCATAGGAAATTTCTCTATTCACCCCGTCGTCTAGATCAGAGGCATTTAACTGAACCACTCTAGTGCCGTTTGGAACATTTTCAAACAGCACTACTCTATAGACAGGCTTATCAAACTCTGGAGCGTTGTCATTCACATCCAGGATGTTTATTCTAATCTGAACAGATCCTGTTAGCTCGGGTTTACCGCCATCCTTGGAGGTCAGCAATATATTAAGTTCTGGCGTTTCCTCTCTATCCAATGACTTCCGTAGAACTAGTTCAGGCAATATACTTTTATCGTTTTTTGTTATTATGTTAAGAGTAAAATACTCATTTAGACCTAACCTATAGGTCAGAAGAGAGTTTACGCCTATATCCGCATCGGAAGCGCCCTCTAGAGGAAAATGAGAATCCAGAGGTGCAGATTCAGAGATAAGTACCTTTTGTTCCACTTCTCTGAACACCGGCGGGTTATCATTAATGTCTTTCACCTCCACCTCCACGTGGAAAACCTTCAGCGGCCTGTCCACGATCACCTCCAGGTGGATGCTACACTCGGTATTCCTCCCGCAAAGCTCCTCCCGGTCGATCCGAGAATTCACAAACAAAATGCCATTCTGCAGATTTACCTCCAGAAGGTCTCGGTGGGCTTTGGACACCACCCGGAACAGACGCGGTACGA